AGGGGGAGAGAGTAACCAAAGAATTTATATGCATATATGCACAACCCAAGGACACGGACAATGGTGGGGAGAGGGGTTGGGGATGGGGATGGGATGGGGTGGAACGGGTCATTGGGGAGAAAAAGGGACATCTGTAATATTTTAAACAAAAATAAAATTTAAAAATTAGAAGAAAAAAATTTTTTTAAAAATAAAAGGGAGCCATAAACTTAAATTCCATTTAAGAAGTATTTACTAAATGTCTACTCAATGTCAGGTACTGTGGTAGGAACAGGGCCTCTGATGATAAGACGGTCCCTCCCTTCCTCTCAAGGACAAATCCAGGGCACTAGCAGAAAAAACAAAAACCCAGCAGTCTGGTTATAACTAATCGAAAACCTTGTGCCCAGCCCTGATCTCAGTGGGGCCTTAGAGAACGTAGCCAGAGAATGAGATGATTTTTCCCTGAGGTCATTCATGTTCAGTACAGAACTGATGTAATCAGAAAATGGAAGTCAGTGGTACTGAGTCTAAGAAGTTGACATTTATTAAATGTTACAGGAGTTGAAAGAAATTCTCCACTCCTGATTAAGTAAAAATATAGAAAGGATGTTAAATGTTACTGATTTGATTAACAAACAAAGCTGGAAGATTTGGTCTCTGACACTTCAGGGAATTCCAAAGTACAGTACTAGAGGTAGTCCTTTGCAAAGAGGGGCTGCCCAATTTTCAAAAGAATACAACTGTGCCCATTTTCATTAACACACCATAGATATCATTGTTAAATTATATGGTTAAGTTCAGAAATATGATACTCATTAGTTCATAAGTACTTAATAATATAACTCTGGCTGGAAACACCACTTCCCCCCAGAGCCAGTGATCCCAGCCAGGACTGGCATACATCTATTTACTCAGTTAACCAGTACTGATGAGCCCCTACTTTGTGCCAGGCACTGTGCTAGGCATTGAGGTTGTAGCAATGAGCATGTAGTCTTGGTTTCTGTGGGGCGCATTCTTTAAAATATGTCCCACACCTCTAAGACAGATGTCACTCATCAGTCACAGCCCCTCTCCTGCCAAGCCTGAGACTGCTTGAGGATCTTTCTCAACATGCTACTTATGAAAATATTACCGAAAGTAGAACACAAGATAAAACCTATTAGCCATCTAGATGCCAGCCAAACTACACTGAATCACCTGTGGTTCCCGCCAAAGTTCTGCTGCCTTGGTTCATGTCATTTTCTGTTTCTGCCTTTCAGCTCCCTCTCCTCTGCCACTATGAACATCCAAATCAACTCTCCTGAACATATAGCTCAAGTGTTCTGCCTTGAAGTTCCCCAGTTCTCCCCATTCAGATCCTTCCTCTTCTAAGCCTGTTTCTTCCCCCTTTTTATGGTATCTGGTAAAGTGTATGTCATGTCTCCCATATATGCATCTTAAGGATAAAAAATAGATGCCTTTTATGTCTTCGAACGCCTCATATTATCTATCATACAACTTTGCACACACACACACAAAATCACATGCTTGTTAAGCACTGTTCAATTAATTCATTATCAGAGAATTTAGGTTAAGAGAACATATAAGCTCACTTGGGAAAAAGCTTATTGTCTTATGTCCAATGGGAGTATATCATTTCTACTGTTCTGAGTACCAAGTTGCATTTACAATACAAATGACTCTTAAGATTGTATTTATATAAAAGTTACATTTGATGTAAAGAAATGAAACTACAGTAGATTCTTAACCTGTGAGGCATGGACTCTGGGATGCCTCTGACATTGTATACAGCACTTGTGTATTTCTGCATAGTATGTTTTTTCAGTTCTTATAACCTAAATTATATGGTAGTTGACTGACGCTAATTGAGATGTTGATGTGTTTGTTCTCACATGTCAAAATGGAATGCTGGGAAAGGGAAAGACCCCATTTACCGCTGTTTCCAGGTTTACATCTCTCAGGATGATCCTGATAATCTCCAAATTGTTTTTCCTATGTTCACTGTGCCACAAGATAGAATATGAAAAAATAAAGACATACAGACTTACGCTTTTTTAGCACATAACCTTCTAAATGATCAGTATCTATTAAACTTCCATATTTTCAGAACCCAATAAACCTCTATGAACTCAGCAGAGCTTTTTTTATGTTATGTACCTTTAGGAAACAAGTTATCCCCCCAAAAAACCCAAATTAAAATGTATTAGCTAAGTTAAAGGTTTTCAGATTAGTAATTAATTGCACTTTTTCAACCTAGGAAAATATAAACAAGGAACTATGGAAAGAAAATGCACATCCTTAAGACGAATAGAATTATTGAATTAATGTTTATTTAAAACCATGCATGAGTTTTTCCATGAAAGTAAATAGACTGGTTCATAGCATAGCCATATTTACAGATACCAAATAACCGTAACTAACTTTTGTCCACAAGACATACTAAACCAAACAATGTGATCAATTCAAAGGTTATCTTTTTTTACAGAATTTAAGCCAAAGATGATTAACCAGTTGCTTGTGAAACTTCTCATTTTAAAAAAAAAGGGTTTTACTGAATCAAATTTATACAATGAATTAGTGAGCAATCAAATCCAAATACACTCCTCAGAGTATGCCAGAAGTAAGCAAAATATTAAATGAATCAAGATCACTAAAAAATAAAGGATTTTTTTCTGTGTGGTAATATAAAACATCATAGCACATGATCATTATTTGACGTGAAAACCCAGTAAGACAGGATTCGGTATTGACTTTTTGTTGTTCCTATAAAGGTAAAACAAAATTCCCAACAGAGCAAGTAAATTATAAATCTAGAAAGTGAGCCATAAAGAGGTGTTCTCTTTAAGAACATGCAATTCCCTTCAAATAATGTGTCTCAGCTCAATGCACGAAGAAAAGCATATTTAAAATTCGAACAGAGCTCTGTCAGCCACACGGGGAACAACTCTCTATGTGCTTCATCTATAGAGATATACTGTGGTTGGGTGATGACACAGCTCCTCTGAATGTGTATAATTTTTAAATATAGTGACAATTCACTTGTTCTGTTTTATTTTATTGATTTACACATTTCAAATATGGCCATGTTAATGACCAAATATGTACAAACATTTTAAAAAACAAAAATAACAATTATATACAGTTTGAAAAAATCAAATTATAACCATGGTACCTTTTGTCTAGTCCAATGACTAGAGACTTTCCAACACTAGTAACTATCAGGTATTGCAACAGGCCAAACGAAGCTGCAATACTACATCCAGATTTATTTTTTCCCTTCCAAATGCTTTCATTTTTCTTTAAAGAATGTTTACAATTTAACTGCTTTTAAACTGGCAATAGCTACATGAGCAATGCCTTGTGCCACAAATCAAAGTCTTTTCCTATCCAAAAGCTACTATTAATTGAAATCAATTTTACCATTCATATTAAATTCAGATGTCTAGCTCCCAGATACCTGGGCATGAAATATTTAAATCTGCCAAGAGGAATTAAATACTTTTCTTCTTTTCTTTTAATATAACCCACTATATAATAGTGAACTAAACATACTTGTTTCATAGAAACAACTTACATTTGCCGATACAGGGCAAATGGTCTATATACAGATACAGTAGGACTGCCTAACTGACAGTGAGTGTTGCCGACGAGGCTCCAAGCCAATGGAGCTAATACGGTGGAGCTCTCTGCTGAATGGACTTTCCCTTCAGGATACGTCGGATCTGGAATGGAAATGAATAGGATTTGTAAGGTTTCTTTTTTTACAGTCAGCTTCAGCAAGAACACACCTTATACACACAATCCTTAATACCCTTCAAGTCAAAACAGCTGTCCTGATACCCAAGAATAAAGTATCTGCACATAACTTCATGGATGACAGGAAAGCCCCAGGCTCATTCAGAGCCTAATGACTGACTTTATACCCCAGTCTGACAGACTTTCTTATCTGTCTTTCAGCCACAGCAGATTAAAAGCAACAAATTAGAAGAAACAAGATTGGAGTGGGGGATGCAGTTGTCAGCTGCTAGAAGACACAATGACCACAGTCTGACGAGAAGCAAAGGAGAAGATGCTCCCTACATACACACAGACACAAAAAGACAAAAGCAGAAAGGAGAGTAACCCGAGAACATTAAGCGAAGAGTTAAACGCTGTCTGTATTCAATAAGCCCTGAGAACATCACTGTATGACCACATACCACGAACCTCGAGTAGAAGCAAACAGTGGGTTTAGGACTCTACCATTTACTATTTCATGATGGTTCCTATCCCTGGAACCTCTGCGAATCTCCATTTTCTCAGATGAACCCTCATACTGCAAAGTTTTCATAACTATTAAGTAGTATACACGAAAACTTTACAAATTATCAAAGCTCCATTTTAAGTGATAAAGAGCTCTACAAATACGGGTTCTTTTAGTATTATGATCATATGAGGGATGTGAATCAAAGGAACAGCTAAACTGTATTCCATATATTTTATTTTGTGATTATCAAAATATGTAATGGCTTACTCATAGCCACAATCACCCTCATTTCCCCCAGGGAAAATTTCCATCAAAAATATCTTAAGTCCTTAAAGATTCAGTTCTTGTTATCAAGAAAAGTTCAGTCATGTGAAACTATTCAATCCCCAAAGATAATATATAACCATGATGAGTAAAGCATAATTTTGTTCAAAGAATAAAATAGTACTAGGTTCTAAACTGCATAAAAAAACCTTCCTATTTCTTTAGTATCAGTTAGTAGACAGAAATAATTGTTAAGAGTCGATGTTTACTGAGCACTTACTATGTGCCTGGGACTCTCCTGAACACTCTACAGATACTGACTCACTAAATACCAAGGGACACAAACAGTGATAGAACCTGCCTAAAGAGCACCAGCTGGCCCAGCCCTAAACCACCTCAACTCCCTTTATGTTTCAGACCAAGTGCCTGAAAGCATTTCCTGTCCCTTCTGTCATCCTCACCTGTTCTCCCACAGGGCCATCAGGAACCAAATGCACTGGCTGTTCGTTCTCCAAGTTCCGAGTACTTGGGTCTGCTCCCTTCCTCATCAACAGGCGGACTGCATCCAACTGTGTCACCCGATACTGCAGGCTGGCAGCAACGTGGAGGGCAGTGTTTCCATTGTAAGCCTGAGACAAAGGGACAAAATGACACCCATCAGGAAGGGGGGCTTTCATGAGAACAGTTTGAAAGCTTGAAAAAGGTGTAAAGGAAGTCACTCTAACTCCTGTGCAATTATTGAAGCTTTGTAAAAGTACCTTTGCATTCACAAAAGACAGGCAACTGGGCAGCTCCAAAAATAGGCGAATGAGTTCCAGATTTGCTTCTTCAGCTGCCAAATGCAGGGCTGTGCGGCCACTTTTCCGATCCTTGTCAAAAGCAAGAGGGGGAAAAAGCTGAGCATCCAGACACTGTGCCATAACACGCTTTTCACCCAGTCTCTCACATGTCTGACTCACTAAACGCTCTTGGAGACTCCGGATGCTCTTTCTACACCAAGCCTTCCTTAACCCCAAACTAGATGAAATCTCTCATTCCTATTAAATTCCTAGATGCCTCTTATAAGTCTACCCTTGTATACAGTGGGGCCATAAAATGTAGAAACACAGACGATATTGTTTTATCGTGTACTGTAATATGCAATAAACCATTTATTATGTACTTGCCTGTGTTTCCACACTTGGTAGCCACCCAGAAGACTTATAATTAGTTGTATTCCTCACTTATTCTATTAAACAGTTAGGTTCCCAAGGACTCAAGTAGCTTAGATTTATACATTTTTCCCCCCAGAGCCCCTAACTCAGTGCACCATACATAGGAGATACTCGGTAAATAAACCTGAAATTTGAAGAAAAAAAACCTATTTTCCAGTTTAAAAAACAAGATTAAGTCTAGATCACACAATGATGAAGCTACCTTACACAAAGCACTACCTTGATTATCAGTATATGAAAATGAAGCCAAAATCCATACTTTGCTACTCAACTCCATTAATTTAAAAAGAAAAGGGGAAAACATTTTAATCTCTACTTGGGAACAAGCCTGTTGCAGTAACCACTTCTCCCCATCCCATCTCCAAAGTCTTCTGTGAATTTACCTTAGCTTCCACTGCTGCCCCCATCTGAATCAGATACTTAATGGTGTCAACCAGACTCTTATTCTTCAGTAAAAGCTCCTGAACCTCAGGTGAATGGGGCTGTTGATTTCTCTGGAGTTCGTGCACCACAGCATTATGGGCCACGACCGCACAGTGCAGAGGAGTCAGGCCTAGAAAAAGTATAGTGGAGCAGTGGTCAAGCATGCCCTTTCAGTTGTTAGGTAATTACAAACCTTGAGGATGGCCGCTAATGTGCTCTATGAATGGGCGCCACAAGAACTAGTAAGGCAATCTGAATAATCCTGTCATTGGCTCTTAGTGCTAATTTCATCTATAGGATATTTTAGCTTTAATTACCTCCCTTCCTTCTTGTTACAAAACTTGATATACCCTTAGAACTAAAGGGCCCCTCTCTATAACTGTTTTTTCACCCAGTAAAGTGTTATTTGCTTACCATCATAGTTAGTTGCCTCAAGATCCACAAACTGATTGCTCATCGCTGCACCCTTCTGAATTGCCTGCAAAATTTAAAAACAGGTATCTGTTAGCAAAAGACAAGCCACACAAGTATTCCAAGAAACGAGTAAGTGAACTCAAAATAGATTACTGCAACCCACATCCAACGTCTAACATTCAAGCCCTCTCTCTCTGGCCCTGTGATAACAGAAGCCTGCTCACTGCCTCTTACCTGAAGCACCTGGGAGTGGCCCTTCTCAGCACAGACGTGCAGAGGGGTTCTCCCCCAGCAGTCAGTGGTGTTCACCTGGGCCCCAAGGTTCACCAGATCCTGCACGATGAGATGCTGATTGGCAGCCACCGCCACCTGAAAGGCACTCTGTGACATTCAGAAGAAAAAGAAATGTTTTTAAAACATATAACACTACCGTAACAAGGAATATGAACCTAAACTAAGACTGAGGGGAAAAACACACATAGAAAAAATAAATCCTATTAATAAATAATAAGATACTGTAACAAGAATACTAAAGTAAACTTAGGGTGTGGCTTTATTATACCCAGTTAGTCTTTGTTCAAATAACTACAAAGTTAATGTTAATGACTTCAAGGCTGATGGTGGCAGAGTCAACATCTCACAGTTAATATATTAACTAAACATTCTTGGTCTTGGGCTCTGAAACTATCTGTAGATATCATTCTCTTCACACAGACCACATCTTTGCCACCTCACTCTGTCAAGGTCCTTACCTGTCCATTGTGCTCTTTAATATCCAGCATGTGAAGTGCATTCATCTTTCTTGCAAGGACATAGGAAAGTGCCCTTCGCCCTTGGGCAACAGCAATATGGAGGAACCTGAGAGACAAGGAAAAGAAAAGAGGTGAATTACTTCTGATTTCACTAAGTTCATCTTTTTAAAAAAGTATTCTTTTAGCCTCTTTCTTGATATGTTGGTACACTCAAATAAAACATTACAGAGCATAAGTTGTCTTTTCTGCTAAGTTGATAATACATCTGAGTTGCAACACGATGTGTCAGGCTACGAGAAATAAGAAAAAGAATGCCAAGCACCTTACTACCTATCACTTTAAATCTATTATTTTTAATATTCATAAAAACCCTATGAGGGAGGTATTATCATTTTACATGTCAAGAAACTGAGGCACAGAGAACATACATAATTTGCAAAAGGCCAAAGATATCAGGACAGGTAAGAGTAAGAATTCAATCTATAAATCAACTCACAGTTGAGCATGACCAACTAATCATGATCTACTTTTTTCTCTATAGATATTGTCTATGCTAGTCTTTCAAAGCCAATTAGTCAAAGACGATGCACATATTTTTATTAATCTAGAACAGGTAATTTGTTCAACCAGGAAAAAAAAGGAAATCTTTTCTGAAATACTAGCTATCATTGAACCGCAGTTTCTACCTACACTGGTCATCTTGACTAGCCAACCATTTAGTAAGGTCTAACTTGGTATACCCTAGAGAAATGCTCTGCCCACTACGTGCAACAAGTATGGTTTACCAAATTAGATACATGAAATAATGGGATACTCACGTGTCACCATCTGCATCCTTTGAAAGAAACTGGTCTTGGGAGATATTTGCCAATTTGTTTTCTTCCTGCTCTACCTGCCACTGAAAAAATGACTTCCCTAACTGCGTGGTGTTCATTGGATTCCTGATGATGTTCTGGAATGGCAGTGAAGTGCTTAAAGGCACAGAACCTGCATCGTGCCCAGCCATGGCCTCACAGGCACTGTGTGGCATCAGGCTGAAGCTCTGCAGGTGGGCGTCATTTTGTTGCTGAACACTGGGGGAAGTCTGAACAGGAACAGCAACATTCTCACATTCCCCATGACTACTTAGAAGGGATGCAAAACTTTGGTTTGGGCAGAACTGTAGTTCTGGGTTATCAAAGAAGTTTGGTTCATAGTTGGGGGACTGGGAAGTTCTGGAATAAGGACTGTATTCCAGAGCTGGGTTGTGGGTATAGTGCTGTGGCTGCTGCTGCGACTGCGGCTGCTGCATGTTCTGGTTCTGTGGAGAATACTGGTACATGGAAGCCTGATCCATCATGTGTGGGGAGCTGCTGACTTGGAATGGCTGGTACTTCTGAGGTGGACTGAAGACCTGCCCTCCACGGAAGTCCTGACACTGCTCTCGGGGAGAGCTCTGAGGGACCACCGCAGGGCTCACCCAGCTAACTTGGACAGTATTCAGGGAAACTGGGCTGCATTCATTCTTGATGTTGATAATGTTCTGAAGCAGATCGGCACTACTGTCCTGTTTGGGTTCACTGAGGTGAACATCTTCCATGCTCTCTGCGGGTGTTGGTGTTTGAGGTGGTGTCTGGAAAGAAAGAAAAAGTAAATTACACACACCCTTCCAAAATTATTCCAGGAATAATTTCCGAAAGGTATTCAGAGGGAAATAGTGAGATACTTACCAAAAACTGGTTATGCAGCAAAGCTGACCTTTTGCAAGCTGGTCCATTAGACAACGAATCAGGTCCTTTCCTTTTCCCACTATATGACACTGTGTTTGTCAATTCTACACCCAAGAAAGGAATATGGATCATTTTATTTTGCAATTTTTACCCATAATCACACTACATTATTTTACTCTAAAGCCCCCATAATATCATGAATAGAAGTAATTCTTACCTGTGAATTGTTCTCTGTTCACACCTTGGGTCTATAAGGAAAAAAGATTTTCAATTTAGTGTAATATTAAATGGCTTCCTGTTTAATATACATCAATAAACATACTTATCTCTACCACTTTTTATAACTCACCATAAACCTTTGATGCAACTATTCTATCAATATTTATTTTCTATCTTAATTTTCATTCTATCTTGCACCTTCCCCCCACTTGCTCTTTCACCTTAGTTCAACTACATCAAGATAAAATTAATAAGGCCGTTTGAGTGTTCCCTTTCTTAATCAAAACGTTCCATTTCAGTTGAACTCTGTTTATTTCCCTGCCCCCAATTTGCCTTCATTTATTCATTCATTAAATTTCTCTTGTGCACCTACCAAGTGCCTATCACTGGGCTTGTGACAGGAATATGGCAGACAGCAAAATATATTTGCTTTCTGTCCTATGGACTTTGTGGTCTACAAGATTTACTGGGCCTAGCACAGCAAAAAATAACAACCCCAATGGACTAGCCTTCCTGACCTCTAACACAAAACAAGAAATAGATGCCACCTTAAAATCATCCGTGGCTTGGCCAGAAGCCTTCTGCTTGTGACTTCGGATGTGCAGCAGGAGTTCCTTCACTGAGTTCTTCACACGAACACCTTGAAAGGGTCCTCTCTGCTGCTTTCCAACCCCCATATGGGGCTCAACTGTTCAAAAGAAAACAAAACATATCCCAATTAAATCTTGGTAACCTCAAAAGCATAGCTGTCTAATGTATCAAGTCCTCAATCACCAGAATGCAAAGCCTTTCCAGCTCGTTCTAGTCAATGGCCTACATGTCAGTCCCCAGTCCTACTTAAGGTTTGACGCTGCCTGAATACTTTTCCCCATCAGGCACCCCAAAGAATTAAAGCTCATACAATTGTGTTTTCAAGGGTGTTCAGAGCCAACAGATAAATCCAAATTAAGCCTCTCTGTCTCTCAGCCCTATTAACCCCCCGAGACACTATCACAGATTTTCAACCCTAACTCTCCTAGATCTATCATTCTTGACTTTTGAAAAACCTTGGGGGAGCAAGGAGTAAATGATGAATTTTTAGCTTTTCAAACCAAAGGCCTTGTGCCCACATAAAAAATTAAAAGTCTACTAATGCACTCACCTAAGAAAGCACAAAACAAACTTCCTCCAAAGATCTCAATGTACCAAAGCCTAACAGTGAACAATGTCTTAGATCTGTTTTTTATTATTTTGCTCAGTTCAGTCAGCTATGCCAAGAAATCTGCTTAAATTCACTCAGCTGAAACACATTTCCACACACGCAGGCAGGATTTCCCCTCACTGACTGTTTTTAGAATTGCTCAGAGAGCCCTTCTAAGTAAAAAGGAAATCTGTAATCTCATTTCATACTTCAACTCTAAAACACACTTTAATACGTAGTCTGTGAGTACAGCATTCCACTTCTGACCACTACTATGTCACAACCTCTTGGGATGAGCTGAACATAAAGTAAACATGCAAAAAGTCAGGAAATGAATAATCCAGCCACCTCACTGACAGTGGAAAGAAGTGGGAAGACGGGACAAGAAACAACACATAATTTGAACATATATGTCATAAATATATGCAAGAAACAATTTAATGATGGGTAGGGTAAATTAAATAACTAGTTGGTTTTACATGTAAGTTTAGGAATATCTTGCCAGAATCTAACACATTTCTCTGGAATGACAAGAGTTAATAATTCAACGTCACAAGGAGAAAAATTCAGTTTCAGAAATCCCCTACGGTTATGCTGTAAACCAGGGAACTAGCAAAGCAGTTTCAACCAGATGAAAGCCAAATGTGGGAGAAAAGGTTCCAAATACACACACACAAGTTTGCTTTAGTGGAACGCTTAACATACAACTACGTGGCTTATATCACTTCTTTAAATTAAACTGGCTAATCACTTTCTAAAATAAAAGACAACCAAAAGAGCATAGCAGTGGGGAACACCTAAAAGATAACATTCTTTAAACCATGCTAATTAGATTCTCCAACATTTGAGATTGTCTAGAGGTTCTTTAGTCTACCCATAGTGGCATCCTGTTTTCCCCCAAATTACACAACTCAGTTCATTAAGAGAAAAAAAAACTAACCAGCCCTGGCCAGGCAGTTCAGTGGGTTAGCGCCCTCCCAATACGCCAAGGTTGCCGGTTTGATCGCTGGTCAGGGCACATACAAGAACCAACCAATGAATGCAAAAATACGTGGAACAACAAATCGATGTTTCTCTCTCTCTCAAATCAATAAATAAAAATTTTAAAAATGAAACTAACCAATTCACAACCAAAGAAAGAAAACATGACGTGTTTCTTTGCCAGAAAGGGCTTAACCGTTCTAGAGCACACAGAACAAAAACAGGACCGCAGAAATCCCGGGCCCGCTCAAAATGTGCCAGCGGCACAGACCAAAGGCATCCGCTGGGTTGGTTTTCTGTCCAGCTTCACCTTACATCTTAATATCGGCTTCTTTCCTTTGACGTAAAGTCCTTTTACTTCAAACTTCCACAAATACTTAGGAAGAACTAAGTCCTGACCTTAAACACAGTACTCAACCCTTTTCACTTAAAAAAAAAAAAAAAGCCACAAAAACACTACCCCTACATCAGACCCAAAGCCTCGCCACAGTATGTGAATTACAGCTGACGAAAGCTGCTTTTTAAAACAGAGAATGTGGTCCGCCCCCCCACACACACCCCCCACTACACCCCC